ATATGATATTGTTGGAAAGGCAGTAGCTTTACTTGGCAGGAAGTTTGAACTGACATTTGTTGGTTCACCGAAAGACGAACAGAGGAGAACAGAGACGTGGTTTCTTGAGAAAACAAAGATAGCGCGCAACCAATTAACTATCCGTGGCTATCGCGACAATAAAGAAATGAAAAAGATGTTTCGTGCAGCAGACTTGATTGTGATGCCATCACGCACGGAAGGGTTTGGTCTGGTTGCCCTGGAAGCAATTTCAGCTGGAGTGCCTGTTCTTGTCTCCAGTGAATCTGGGATAGCCAAAGCTTTAGAGAAAGTCGAGGGTGGGAGGACTGTGGTAGTCTATTCAGATAAGCCAGAGGCCTGGGCAGAAAGAATCAAACAGTTGTCAGAGCAGAAGCCAGAAGACAGACATGCCAGTGCTATGCATCTCAGAGATAAGTACGGAGAGACTTATACCTGGACAAAACAATGTGAGAGATTCGAGCAGATGATCCATGGGTTGATTCAGAGACCTTGCAGAGATTCTCCTTCAAATGTTGCATTGACAGGTTTGCTTTTAGATGTTTTACCTGATTTTTAAGAGAGTGGTCATTATTTATAGTTTGGAGAGGGGGAGGGGGTTGGTCGAAAACAAATTAATTGTTGAAATAGGGGGGCTGTGAGAGTTTCAAGGGTGTTACAAGGAGGTCATAAAGTTTTCCTAGTTTTAAACAGGAAAAAATGTACCTTGAAGGCAACTGATAAAGACAGGCTATTATGCAATAAATTATTGAAATTATGTGATTTTTTCGTGAGCTATTTTAAGCATATTTTACTAGGTTTCATAAGAAGAAGACCCTTTTGTGGGTGCTCCAAAGACAAATTGAACTAAAGGAACAAAAGGTAAAAGACTCTAGGTGCCTTCCAAAGATGATCAATAGCAATGTTGCATAGATCTTCAGCCTGCCATCCACATGGAAGGGGTATTTTCTTGCTCTATCTTTCGCAGTTAAATTTGCATTTGGCAGAAGGTGTGATTTAGCCTTTTCAGTTGAAGAAACAGCAGGCGTTTTCACTACAAACTTATCCACGAGGGACATTAATTTATTAAGAATTCCACGAAAGAAGTTTCATTTTGTCTTTGAAATAAGTACTGCTTGGATCATATGTTGCTGGTATATTACTGGCAATTCTGATTGGCCCAAGCAAAGAAAGGTATTGTTTGTGTTATACATGTACATGTACAGGCAATTCTTTGAGAATGAAAGCTACTAGTACCAGTTCCTGGACGTCCAAGAAGCGCCTTGAATTTCGATTGTTTGCCAAATTAGAAGGTTGTGGGAGGTTTTCAGGGCTTTTTCAACAAATGACATGTTGATGTGGCATTTTTCCAGATAAAGCATTAACTAATCAGGGTTTTCAATAAGGGCTGGGGGCTGGTGAAATTCGCCGTCTTTTTCGCATGATTTTGCCGCCTACCTTCAGTGTGGCAAATAACAGTTGGTCATCAGACATTGTCCGTCCAAATTTTGATATGTCCGGCCAATTTCACATTATGTTCGGACATGATGTCCGATCATTTTGCCAACACATTTTGATTTCTTCCTTTGAAGTTATTGTCCATCCATAAAATTTGGTTAGATACATTGTTAAAGGGCACAAAAATGCGACCGATAACGACCAATACAGTCGCCAATGCAGGTAACATTTCATCTTGTCAACTAAAAATTCTGGTTGATGGCAACTGATGGCAACTACATGTCTTTGTGTTGACGATCAATAATGGTTATTTTCTCTGACATTATGTCCTTCAGAAAATACAAACTTTGGTGGCTGCCAATGCAGTTCTTGTCTTAAATGATTCCTTTATAGACATGTTGTATTTTTATCGTTTTTTAATATTGTATTTTCAACGCATATTTTTTAAGACATTAATAGTATGATAATTTTGTATTTTTTAATATATAGTTTTTAAATCTTTTTTTAACATGTATGTCAAACACTTTTATCATGAGCCCCTGGCTCGGGAGACTTGGGCAACCACTCCCCGTGTTCTTGACGTAAAATAAATTACCTTACCTTACCTTACCTTACCTTAGGTCTTTGCTTCTAAAACATTCATGGTAAGAAAAGAAGTCAATCCATCCTTTTGCTTTGCTGTAAGGGATTTGCTCACATCAGAAAACTTCCAAATGGCTGACTGTGTTTGAAGTCGCCCTATAATGCATTGCAAACACTTGAGTATTGAGTACGTCATGTATGCCCAACGATCGTCTCTTTTGTTATGTCAGATCCTTCATGCTACGCATGCAAAATTGGTGGGCAAAAAAAAGGGAATTTTTTCTTTACTTTTTCTCTTTTTCTTGACCTTGTGTCATGAATTTAATGTTAAATCCGTGAGCCCCAAAATTAACCGGTAGGAGAAAGTAAAGAAGTTAACAAGATCTGCAGTTGCTGTGTGCTGCTCACTAGTCTTTGTTGAAAAAATTGCTATAATTATACATGTATTTGCCTCAGAATGCAAATTTTAAGAATCTCCCAGATGGGGCACACTCACGTACACCCCCACCCCAAGGTTATGCCTTCGGCTCGAGTTGTACCTTCACCGCCTACTCCTGAAATTTTGCCGCCTACTCCAATTCTTATTGAAAACCCTGGCTAATGGTCTATTTTGTTAGAATTGTGCGATTTTTGCTGAATTATTGTATGTGAGTTTTCATGAATTGTGTGATCGGATGCGATTTGAGGTTGATTGTGCAAAACCACACCATGGCATAATATCAGAAGGCCTGATGAAACATGCAGACATATAATGAGATTGTGTCTTTCTCATTAGATGGAAGTGGAGCTACAGCTTCACCATCACCATTAGAAGCAGACAGTAACCAGGAAAGAGATTCAGCAACAAGACTAAGAGGTAATGTGTTTCTGCATGTACTATACATGCTGACTTTATTTGAAGTAGATAGGTACACTCGTCTGGTGCATTAAAGAGCAACGAAACTGATTGACTTTATTTTGCATCAAGATTATATTCCAGAATTTTAGAAAAGCCATTCAGACCATTTGTCATAATTTTTTTTTATCATTGCTGGGATAATCTAATATGTATCTGGATGGATTTTACAGTACTTCCTCCCCTGCCTTTCTTTAGACATGTTGAGCTGTTTTCTGCAGTGTAAGGGTTTGTCAAAGTTTATACCAAAACCATTTGTAAGTATATAATTTATATCGAACTCTATTAATTGATCAACAAGTTAAAATTGATAACATAAATTAATTAAGGTTCATTGGTCTACATCAAGATGTGCTGAAGGGATGTGCGATTTTGATTTCTCTATTTTGCCCACACTGGGGCAAATACAGCTGATTTTTTTTTTTGCATGTTTAAAACTTGGTGTGTGTTCCTTTGGGATGATGCAGATCAGGATCATTGATCCATATAAGATCACTCGGTTTTGGCTTATGAAAATAATTGATGAATTCTTTATGTCCAGAATGGATTGATCAGTTCATTTGATGCACCAGGATCTGAGTGATCTTGCTTCATTGATCCTTATCTGGATTATTTCAAATGAAAATTGCACCCTTTTTTCAACCAGAGGGATGACCATTTTTATTTGTTGTTTTGTGTGGGCATTGTGGGTGTGCCTTATTTTAGTTAAGTCATCATGTCTAATTTCTCTGATGTCTTTCTCTTTAGATGCAAATAGAGATACAGCTTCACCATCCTCTTCAAAATCCGCAGAGGCAGACAGTGACAGAAAAGGAGATTCAGCAAGAGGACAAACAGGTTTGTGTACATTGTATGTGGACTTTTTAATAGACCTGTGTGCTGATGCAAAAGAACAACTGAAACAACAAACATGCCCGGAGTGTTCCGGGGATGTTTTTAATTTCAAAAGAACAACAATATTTAAGCTATTTAAGTGCTTGCATACACTTGCTGGCAATAAGCAACAATATCTTTTGAGTTATTTTTTTGTATAAAAAAAAATACCTCTTAGTCAGTGCGTCGGGGTATGTTATGGACGGGTCAATGGATGAGTGAGTGAGTGAGTGAGAGATGTATGTATGTCACGCCAATCAGATTGAATCTACTATAAACAGCCAATCAAATGTCTTGTTGTAAAGGTAAATGATATGTGAGAAGATTTGATCCCAATACAGTTCAGAACGTCAAGTTTCACTTTCAAGGACTTCGGTAATTGAAAAATAAAGACTGACGTGTATGTTGCTGGTTTGTGATTTTTAGTCCGGTTTGGAGCAGAGTGTGACAGTTACATAGTTACATTCATTGGGTTGTTTTAGAGTGCATAAAGTTCAGTGTAATGGTGGTTAGTTATGAACGAGATGAGCCTTGAGTTTTGAAACAGTTCATGAGTTAGTAGTATGTAAATGGAATGAGATTTTTTATATTTAGTTAGAAAGGTTAAACTTGATACTTTTGTTTTTCACAAGGAGTAAATTCAATTAGAGGTAACGAATCATCGCTTCTAGTTCTTAGGACATGTTTTAGAGGAGACAAGGCTATTTAGATTTGAAGCAGTTCTAACGTTTACAATAGTAAGTGCAGGTAACAATTGTTTTGTTCTTGTTGCATGCAAATATAACGAGATATTTTTGTTTTTTAGTTACAAAGCTGGGTAATTTGACACTTGTTTTTCACAAGGGAGTAAATTCAATTAGAGCTGACGAATTGTCACTACTTGTTCCCACAAGACGTTTGCTATCTTTAGTTACAAATTGTAACTTAACACTTTTGTTTTTTATATGTATGGGTAATCATATGCTTTCAAGTTCAATTTGGAATTAATTTGCACAAGCGAGTTTTTCAAAAAGCTGAAATTGCGTGAGCCGCTTCAGCGAGTGCAATTTCAGCTTTTTGAAAAACTCACAAGTGCCAATTTAAATTCCAAATTGAACAAGAAAAACCATATGATTACTTATTAATAATGTAAACATGAAAAAATTCGCATGGAGGAAGTGCCAAAAGATCTTTCTTAAAGCCATTTTTTCTCATTCGAGAAACTTTTTTCAAATTTTCTGCACAAAATTTTCGTCATCATTTTACGTGATATCATTTGCCTAGAAAATTTCCTATTTTCTTTCAGGCAATCATAATCCAGAATTACGATTTGTAATTTGCACTGGTGTTACACTTTTTGCACTGATGTTACACTTGAACTGCACTGCTCTCAGCCATTCAGAATCGAGTATTTTTTCATGTCTATTATTAGGGAGTAAATTCAATTAGAGCTGACAAGTTATCAGCTATTGTTCCCAGGATATTAAACAAAAGAGAATTAAACTTTCATTTCTGGACGGCTTTTACGTCTCTGCAGTAGCAGTTTAATATTTTTATTTCATGGACATTTTATGACATTCTTTTCAGTCCAACATTTTTTAAGGTAAAAAGTACGAAAACTGTTCAAATGTTCTTTAAAGACTGCGTGGTACCAAGTTAAAGTGCAATTTAATTAAATCAGACTTTCAACGTGTCAGAGGTTTTTTTTCTCTTTCTTTCTATTTTCGGTGAAGTAGTGGTGTTGCGTTGTGTTGTGTAAAAAAAGGTAAACTTATGACTCATATAAAATGCGAAAAGTTTTCTTAACTTGAGTATTTTTGAACAAAAATTCCTCTTGGGGGTTGGAGGGGCTATGTGATTGGTGAGTGAGGGAGTTATACATGTGCACGTGTCACACCAATCACAGTATGGGTTGTATCAAAGAACAAATCAAATTCCCTGTTAGAAAATAAGATGGTATCTCTGGAGATGTCAGATTACTGTAGTTTGTTCAGTCAAACATTTTATGGCTTACTATTTAGTTGTCTTACCATTACTGGTGTAACATCGTATGTACATCACAAATTCCCAGTTTCTTTCTTGCTGTACATCGCAACCAGAAAGCCTTGTCAAATTAACCAAATCATTACTGTAAACAGTTCCATGAATGCTCCAATCTCCGAGAATTTTAGTTTGCAAAAAAAATAACTCTTGCATGCCTTGCGTGCCCATGTTTTCCAAAGGTCAGCACACATGAGTGGAAAAGTTTCTGCGACTTTAAACCTTTGCAACAAGTCACAGGCCGGGACAAGTCCCTTTGCTGGTGTGAACTAACTGTTTTTGTCCAAAAATGTGGAACTTACAGCACAGGCAGCCTAAATTCAAGTCGTGATCATTGGTATAATAGCCATGTCTGTAATGTAATGAAATGAATATATGAAGAGGCTCTACCCAAGAGGGATACCTTTTTCAAGTGGGAAGTAACTGTTGAAGGATGCAGAGTTCATGGGATGATTTATGGTGAAAGATTGGGAAAACTGCCAGTGCTGTTTGAAAAGGCTCTTCCAGAACAAACGTACTTATTGGTTGAGTCACCAGAGAATTGTGAAGGGTTATCTCATGCAGTGTGGCTTCAGTAGCCTAGGTACATGTATATGAGAGGGATACCATTTTGTATGGAAGGTGCATGAAAGGGTCAACTTTTTGTCAAGAGCTCTAGTAAAATGGTAAAGGATGAACCTCATGGCAGAGCTTCCCCATGAAAATAAAACTTTTTGAGTTCCCCCCTCCCCAACCAAGGAAAAATATATTACATCTGTTACAAGTACCTGCTGACTTGCCATGCATTTAATTTATTTATCAATTTATTAGATCAAACTAGAAATATCACTGTGAAGTTGGAAACAGCAACCTCTGCACAAGATAAAGGTCTTGCCTGGTTTGTTCAAAAGGTGCAGAGATTCAAATATAGCAAAAGAAATCCATTATCAGGTTAGAGCAGTGTTAATGCGCATTGCTGTGAACTTCTGATAGTAACGACCCCTCAAAAGTAGCGAACCCCAGAAAGTACATGTAACTTCAACAAATCGTTGCCTCTAGTAAATCCTGAAAGTAACGACCCCCTGAAAGTAGTGACCCCCTCGAAAGTAGCCAGCCCGATGCCAACTCCACCTACCTGCCAAAAATAACGAGACCAAGGTTTAATACAACATTATATTTATTTCTCCAATCAATAGGCAAGTGAACAGGAAAATGAACTTTTCTCCGCTTTCATAGGTAATAACAGAAATGTTTCAGCTTAAAAAAAATTGAAAAATCGGCTGATTCTCCCATGTGGTAGTCCGGTCAAAGTAGGAGTGTGCCTGAGGGTGTGTGGGTGCAAGGAGCTTAAGGAGGAGGAATAGAGATCCCTTGTTTCTGTGAGGTCATTGTGAAAAAAGGAAGGTGATGAAAGGGCTCAGAAAAGAACTCCGGGAGAAACTTGCACAACTTGTGCCTACAACAGACAAAACATTGTAGACATGTAGAGGCCACCTTATGTTAGTAACGTGAAAGTGGAACAATGATGGATTTTCCCTTTTTTTGAGAAAAATATGTTTTGCATATTTCGTTTAAAAAGCTCAGTTGTACCAACTTTGCATGACGTTTTTTGCTCCCCAAAAGTAACGACCCCTGAAAGTAGCGACCCTCGAAAGTAGCGACCCCTCAAAAGTAGCAAGCCCCAAAAACTGCTAATTCCGAAAGTAACAAGGGTCGTTACTATCGGAAGTTTATGGTATATAGCTTATGTAAACATAATATAGTTATCTGATGCATCTAATTGAGCTTTTGCTAAATATTGGAGCAACCCCCGTAATAAAGCAAAGATTAACATATACTCTCTCTCCCACCCAGACAGATGCTTTAAGTTCTTGCACCAACAATTTCTTTCATGCCAGTTTCTTTTCTTAAGTGATGTTCACTTTTATTAATGAAACATGCAGCCATATATTCATAAGATCATGTCTTTGTCATTAGATGCAAATGGAGCTACAGCTTCACCATCCTCTTCAAAATCCACACAAGCAGACAGTAACTGGGAAGGAGATTCAGGAACAAGACTAAGAGGTTTGTATGTCTTGTGTACAATACATCTCCTGACTGTATAGCTGAGCTCTGGTGGTGCAAAGGGCTGCCAGTTGGAGCACCGTACTCATAGAAACCATAAATTGCTTTTCTTATTGTCATCATGGCAAGCGGTATTGCTTGTGGGCCCATATGCATATTGCAGGCTCAAGTTTAAAGCCCATCAAGGTCGCATGTTTTTATGAAGTTTACTGCTGCCCAGGTACTGGTTTTTGATTAGATTGCAGGCTCAAGCCAGGTTAACTTATTGTAATCAGGAAGTCTGTTTTAGGCTTGGCTGAATCTCTATATTAATATATGTGTACACTGATGCTTAAGAGCCACAAAGTTGTTTAGGATGATTTTGATTGATTTTGATTGATTTTGATTGATTTTGATTGATTTTGATTGATTAAGAGTATATTCAAGATTATCATATGGCAAGGTAGTCAATTGAGGTAAATCTGAGTGTTCTGATTGGTTCTTTCTTGGTCAGGATTTTGCCATACAGACTGTTTTCATAGAAACAGTCATAAGCCGTGTATTTTTTGCTTTCTAAACTGTTTTCAAGTATCAAACTCTATCAATTGATCAAAGATTAAAATTAGTAACATATATTAATTAAGGTTCACTGGTGTACATCAAGATGTGGTGAAATGATGTGCGATTTTGATTTCTTTATTTTGCCCTCACTAGGGTAACAGCTGATTTTATTTGCATGTTTAAAACTTGAGGTGTGTTCCTTTGGGATGATCCAGATTAGGATCAATGATCTAAGATCACTCAGATCGTGATGTATTTAAAGAACTGATGAATCCTTCAATTTCCAGACTGGGTTCATTGATTTCTCCGATGCAACATGATCTGAGTGATCTTGCGTCGTCGGTCCTGATCTGGATCATTCCAAAAGAAGATTGCACCCTGATTTTCAACTCAAGGGACCGCCATTTGCATTTGTTGTTTTGCAAAAGGTCACAATGTGGAGAGGCAGTGGCGTCATTTTCTGGATTGTTCCGAGGATTCAGCTCTCTTGAGCAGAAAGCTTGGAATAGATTTTGCCTATTCCAGAATATTGTTGGAATAGCAGCTCAATGAAATGGATTTGTTATTCACTTATTCTTGTACGGGAATCGTAGTTGATCAAATGCACCCTAAGTACACTTGTTGACAATAAGCACAATTATCCTATTCTAAACTTGACATACATGTAAGCTGGAGGTAAAGGTATTCTACATATGCCAATTAAATGTTGAACTATTATTGTGGCAGAATTTTAAATTAACTCGTCCTTAGGAAGGATATTTAGAATCAGAAAAGTGCAGTGGAACAGAAGTGTATTAGTATCAAATTTTATTTTTACGTTACAGTAACTGTCAAATTTCGTACATGTTCATTGGCCTGTTTTTATTTTTATAGTGAA